CGCAGCGCCCCCCGCACGTTCGGAAAAAAACAAAACAAATTTTTTGGAGCATTTATTTCAAAAAATGTATTTAATTCTTTTATACAGGGTGTCCCAGGGAAAACAGTCCGTCTCGATTTATTGGATTTGGAATGAGAATCTGGAGAAACGCTCGGACACGTCGATTTTTGATTTGAAGGGGAACCATTTTTCTGTTTTTTTTTTTAACCCCCGTAGTTTTAAGCCCTTAGTTGGGGGGGAACAACCCCCCAAATTTGAATAGGGAATGGAGGTCGTGTCCTACCTCTTTTTAAAGGTCTCATCAAGTTCTTTATGGCCCTAAATTTTCGTCTCATGATTTTCATTCGTAATGAAATGTCAAAATCTTGGAAATAGACTATCGTTTTAGTGGGAATAAAAGCGATACCTACCTCCCCTTAATAAAAATACTTGAAATTGAAGTTTTTTATCATTATATTATTAATCAGGTGAACACGTGTATTGTAAATTGTAAGTATGTTTATTAAGGGAGGCAAGTATCAATTTTACTCCTACTAAAACAATAGTCTATTTCCAAGATTTTGACAAGCTGTCATTTCGTTACGGATGAAAATAATAAGACGAAATTCTAGGGCCAGAAAGAACTCGATGAGACCTTTGAAAAGAGGTGTGACACGACCCCTATCCCCTATTTAAATTTGGGGGGTTGTTCTACCCCTAGCTAAGGGATTGAAGCTACGGGGATGAAAAAAACTGAGAGATATTTCACCCTCAAATCAAAAATCAGCGTGTCCGAATGTTTTTCCCGATTTTCATTCCAAATCAAAAAAATCGGGGTGGACTGTATTCCCAGGGACACCCTGTATATATTTATTATGCAACGACGCCACCGCCAAACAATATTATTATTATCTCGAAATGAATAATTGAAGTGAGATGCGAACTGACTATTATCTGTTATCGCTGTCAGCTATCGCACGAGTAAAGCCTAGTACTCATAACTGCGAAATTCGTTTTTTTTTGACATTGCTTCGACAATTTGACGTTTGATTCACGCATAAAATGTCAAATTGTCGAAGCAATGTCAAAAAAGAGCAAATTTCGCTGTTATGAGCAATGGTTATGAGTACTAGGCTTTAAACGGTTCTAGGAATTCAAGTAGAGCTGGGCCTGGCCATAGAGACGGGCGTAATTGTATCTACTTACACTTACTTATTTTTTCTATGCGTATGGGTAGTAATCCCTAAACTAACTTGTAGCTTTTTGCTTTGCTTTTTCGTATTATATTATGGTTCAATACATTGAAATTTTAAGGGTCGTTACGCGCTTCGCTCGCCGCCCCTAAGATTTTGCCGCCCGGTGCTACTGCACCCAAAAGACCCCTGGTTAAACCGGCCCTGATTGTATCAAGATATTTCGTGCTTTAATGTCATTTTTGGTGAAGGCGTTAAGTTCTTTAAAGTTCTGCTACGCTTGTCGCTGCAGGCGGTGTCTGTGATAAAACAGAAAGCACTCCTGCTTGTTCCAGAACTAGGCTTACTCGAAATTCCCAATAAGAAAAACCGCTTCCATCGAGAGGTTTGATGTTACTGCGGCATGTTTGAGGTCATGTTTTAAAGAAGATTCCTTGAGTATTCCACAAGTTCCACAATAATTCCTTCTAGAAACTTTTTTATTTCAATGACGTTTGCTTACCCTCACGGTTTCGAAAGTTTTGCACTTGATATTTAATTTTTCAGTCTGGGCCCCATATAACCTATGGATGCGCAGTGTATTTCTGTATAATTAAACCAACTTCCTGACCTTGATTCAACAGTTCTATTTAGTCGGCATTAGCAAAAACGTTTGTACCATTAAATTAAGAGCTTGACAACTTGACACCTACAACGAACAATACTGTCAAATAGACTTATATAACAGCGCGTGCTAACACCAGCAGAGCTTATAGTGGCCGAGTTCGTTTTTGTCATCTTTTTCGTCGATTTGCTCCGAAATTTTGACAGGCACGTGACTGGAAAAGACAGTTTCAATTCACAAATCACGTGCCTGTCAAAATTTCGTAGCAAATCGACGAAAAAGATGACAAAAACGAACTCGGCCAGTATTGAACTATAGATATAGTCGTAATCACGATAGAAAGTGAAATTGACAGTTCGCGTTGACATATCTAGTATTTTTTTTCTTTAGGTTGCCAGCATGCGTAAGCGTTTTCATTCCATCAGCTGGGATAAAAGACAGGGTCGTATTTAGGAAAATGATATGCATTCCAGATTTATTTTTAATTTCTTTAAAGTAAAGGAAGTCAAGTTATTAAAATCCTGCATAGTAATATTAAACATCTGGAATAGAACAAACGTAATATTTTCTAATAGTTGTTGCTGTAGCTGGCCGCCCAAGTACTCTGTTGATTTTCAAAGGTTAGATGGTATATGCGAGCGGTTTATTGATGCTAGTTACTTCCTTGGGTAGCTACAGAATTAAATGCTGAAGGGGGTTTACTTGCAAAAGAGAGAAACAACTGCAGTATTTCCACACGTATTATACATATTTAATTTTAAATAAATGAACCCAAATTTTTCCAATAATAATATACAGTACTTAAATTTCTACTCAAATTTTCCATTAATAAAATTATACAGTACTAAAATTTCTACTCAAATTTTCCAGGAATAAAATTATACATGCAGTACTGAAATTTCTACCCAAAAACTCTTCTCATGTGGCTTACATCAGGCTTTTCCATGAGGGCTCTTCTTGGATCATCCTTTCTAAAGGTAAATCCTAACGTGGGCAAAACCCTGCCTAAACTTGACTGGGAACCGTAATAAATTTCCCTTTCTTTCAGCCTATCACTTACAGTCTTTTTTAAGGGTAACATATGCAATTCTAAAAACGAAAAATGCTTGTTTAAATATTGTAGTACTGTAGCAACAGCAAATATTACTGATTTTAGTTAGTATATCTTGTTCAATTAGCTTTGAGACTTTCGTCACCAAAAATGAACTAAAAGTCTAGTTTGTGAAATGGCTTAAACTTATAATTGAAGAAGAGAGGAGTATGCATTCTGTGTAATAATTTATTAAGAAAATCCGCCGAGTGCTTCCGGCCTTAAGTCATCAGCAGTGCTGCTTCGTCGCAGGTACAAACATCACACACAAGAGACAACTGACACAAGTGGACGTGCATAAATAAAATTTAACTATTAATTAATCAATTACCTGTGTAGTAATGGGTTTTTTACCAAAAACTGCTAAATAATATATAAAAGGAAGAGTAACAGTAAGAGGTGGGCGACAGATGGGACATTGCCCCTCTAAATAAATTATACAAGCATAATATTAGATGATACATTAAATAGGAAGTTTAATTAGTGATACCATGTTTAGAGGTACCAAAGTCCACTAGAAAATATGACAACACAAAATGCTAAACATCTGAAAGACAATAGACCAACACACAGGATAAAACATGCAGCAGAAGTTACAGAAGCTCTGCAAATATCTGAACCCAAACTGTGTAGGTACGTCAAAGAGGGGAATATGAATACTTATCCTTATGAAAGACTCCAATAACTCAGGTACCTATATTGAAAAGCAAGAAAACAATTCTAAAAAATATCATGAAATTATGGAATGAAAGAAATCCTAGCAGCATCTTAATTTGTGTTGACCTGAAATAAAAAATAGTATTAAACTATGAAAAACAGTTTAATTTGATCTGAGAAGTTCCAATGTTATCAGGTGTATTCTTTTGGAATAATCTACTGGTAATGTTAATATGAAGTAACAGTGAAACAACTCTATGTTCAAAGTAGAACATCAACTTACACTTGAATCAGTTGTCTGCAACTTCTCACGCTTCCACGTGACAGGGGTAATTTCAGACTCAACTGAACCATCCTTATATTTATAGACAGTGGTCTCACTTAGTTTCAAAACCTTAGCTGTCTCCTAGAAAGGCAATCGAACAGTAAATTACAATTTATTTATTAAAAATTAACAAAAGCCACTCGCTTCGAAAATATCCTCTTCCAAAACTTGTACCTACATTTACTGAGATCAAGACGAAAACGTTTCTATGATCAATCAACAATAACTTTATTGTTATTAACTTACAGTTATGGGATTTTGATCTTCATGAGACACCTTGAAATGGTTGTATACGAGTTGTATAAATTGCTGAGCCACAGGGTTCCCATAAATTATTGGTCTCTACAAAAGGATTATTTGCTTATTTTTACTAAATTTGAAAACACTACCTCGTCACTTTCCCTCTTGCTTAGAGAAAAAAAAGATTCGTCTCGTAAAGAAGAAGCATCTCCGAGGTTTATTGCTGTTCCCTGAAAATTATTGGCGATGAATTATGACAGTGGTAATTTAAAGTTGCCAATTTTACCGTATTTTCTTCACACCTAAATCAGCTGAGATGCTGGAACAGAGCAAAGTCTCCAGGACCCTGGTACGATCGGACTTGTCCCGGGACTTTTCTGTCATCGCTAAAAAGAAAACGGCACTTTTAAAATCGTAATATTGTGTAAGTATTAGGTTTAAATTACCTGAAGAAGATAAAATAAACCACATAAGTCTTGATAGAGTCCAAAGTGAACACTTACCTATAAAAAGACAAAACACTAACTAAAACCAGGTTTCAAATGAAACGCAACACCGAAACACAAAGGCACAGAACACTACATAAAAAACCAAAAAACCGATTGAGAATATAACAAAATATCAAAAAATAATGCAGAAAACGCCAATAAACTAAAACGATCTCGCGCAAAAATTCGAAATTCAAAATTCTAAGATCCGAATCTGATAATTTTATATGTCAAATCGAAATGTCATGTATCATTATTTGATGGTTGACAGAAAAAGGGACAGATCTAGGGATTTTATTTACTTTCAACTGGTGAAAATAACGGTCAAAATTTAAACTCTATCGTGAATACGACTATACCTACCCATTTTACTACAGATATATCACTAGGATAAGCTTGAATTTTTTTATTTTTTTATTTCTAGGTAAAGTTAGAAATTAATGCAATGGGCCCACGTGCATCCGTAGTAAGTGAAGATTTAACCGCTTACTCTGATGAATCTTACGACGTACAAAACGTAACAGTTCCTGTAACTGTTTGTCTTATGATTATGGTCGGGTAAGTTATAATACTCAATCAATAACAACCCAATTATTATGCATTTAATTTCAGCTATATTTGTGGCGGCGCGATCCTGTTTTGTCAATGGGAATACGATTCAGGCTGGACTTTTCTGGACGCGTCCTATTTTTGTTTTATTTCACTCAGCACCATCGGTTTTGGCGATTTCGTCCCCGGGGATAAAATTTACGGACAGGGAAAAATCGAGGAAATTTTAGAATTGAAATTCGTATTTTGTTCCATGTATCTTATGTTGGGAATGGCGTTGATTGCGATGTGTTTTAATCTAATGCAGGTAACTATCCGGAAACTGCAAATTTTCTATTCAACTATTAATTATTTTGTCTAAGATACCTACTAGGTATATTAGGATGTTTTTAACCACTATTTCCATTAATTTTTCAGGAAGAAGTAATTCACAAAATAAGATCGACCATAAGGACTGTTAAATACATATTCCGTTGCAGATAACATTAAATAATGACAATAAAAGAAATCCAATAAGACTGAAAAAATCCTATTTTTACTATGCTTCACTGCCTAGTTTTCAAATATAGCTAATTACCTACAAATTGATATTTCAAACAGCTCATTGAAACTTTAATGTTCAGTATGAAATAAATTGCATAAGTATCAACAGCTCAAAAAAGTTAATGAGATATTTTCCTAGCAAGTTTAATGCCCAAAAATAGATTTTAGTATGAATAAAGATATAATTTTTTCTATTTCTTGTTTTTTCTTTCAAATAATCCAGAATCCAGCTTAAAGTGAGCAGTATATGAGGCGCCATCTGCGCTATAACGCATAAACTAGTCAATTTTATAGATATTGATTGAGTTTTGGCGGAAGATCCTTTAGGAAATTCTGAAACTGATCGAATGGAACTTTTTCACTTATGTCATTTCGTTTTGCAGAAAAATGTATGATGTCCTCATGACCTAAAAATGCCAGCACACAAATTGAAATGATGTGTCCTGAAAATTGAGTTTCAGAAATAAAAAAGTATCAAACTTTTACGTTAACACAAAATAGCTTTATTCAATTCAAATACAAAATTCCATTCCAAGGATACAAAACAAACAAAACATTAACACAAAAATAACTTAAACTTGAATTCGACTTTTCGCCCCTTGCTGTCTGTTCTTCTTAACTTGTTTCCTTTCGTTTTTCCGATTCGCCAAGCTGAGTTCAAAGTTGGTGTGCGAATCTTGAATGTGCCTCACCCATTCGGCAGGTGTAACGAATGATTTGTCGCATAAGTCGCATTGGAGTTCTGGAAAACTGGCGTTTTCATCTTCTTCCTAGAATAAATTGTTTGAACTTTTAAACCATTCAGATTCACAAGAAAAAGCAATCATAAAAATCATAGCATTTCAACAATTATCTTTGAGAGGGATGATCTTTCTACACATAAATTATTTGAGCTTTCAAATTCTTAGTTTTTGAGAATATTGCATATTGATGTTCTCGTGACTTATTGTAGATTATTCTGGTTATGCTGGGCTTCTCAAACCAATTCTAACTGCCTCATTGAACAAGTCTTATTCTACAACACGGTGTTTCTATGGAACACCCTATCTTGAAAGTGGAAATCTCCTTTTCTGAGCTTATTCGAGATATTTTTGCAAGGAAAAAATCTTTTTACTCCTACTTAACTTACATCAGGACTATCCCGTCTTCTCCTTTTAGCTGGTAACATATCTGTATGGGATTGTACATGCTTGACCCATTCTGCTGGCAAACTAAACCTTTCTGTGCATAGTTCGCAGGTCAAAGGGGTGTACAGGTCAGCAGAACCTACAAACAATATAGATATAAACAAAGTTCTCTTCAACTAGATATTAATATAGGTATTACTTTCATTGGAAGTAGAATCGTAGCCTTCAAGTTTCGTGGACTCTTCTTCAAAAATTTCCTTTTCATCAACAATATCTATATCATCAGGCCATCCCACAGGTTCTTCTTTTATCACCAAACAAGAAATATCAGATTGTTCATTTTCATCTTTGATCAGAATATTGCCGTTTGAAGAAGAATTTTGAGCTTCCATATCTGCTGAGGTGATTGTGTGCGGTTTATCCAATTGAGAAAACTGTATTGGAAATAAGTAATGTTTGTTTATTCGAACTTATATAATGGGGAATTAACTTACTTTTTTATTCAACATTATCACCTTCCTGGGAATACCATTCTCATTATTACTAAAATTGCACAATACATTCTTGGACTTGTTACCATTGTTTGAAGTAACAATGACTTTCTCTTGGATTTTATTTTGAATTTTTCCATGCAACAATATTTTCACAGCTTCTTTTGGTATCGCAACCGATTTATTTTGAATTATCTTTTGACTAAAATTAAATAACATTAAAGGACACCGCATACCTCTTATGGGATTTGGGACTTCCGCCAAATTTAACCAAATTCTAGTATGATATAAATTTGACCTTTCTGATCAATACTTAGCATTGGCCCAACTTGATCCTATGACTAGTTTTTGAGATACAGGTAGCTTAATGTCCAAGAAATTAACACATTTTATATGTGAGCGTGAGGATACCTGTCCATCCTGGTATATTATTAGGTGACAGGTAGATGTAAATGCATATAAAATGGGTACATTTCTTGGAAATTAAGCTACCTGTATTATGTCAAAAACTAGTCATAGGATCAAGTTGGGCCAATGCTAAGTATTGATCAGAAAGGTCAAATTTATATCATACTAGAATTTGGTTAAATTTGGCGTAAGTCCCAAATCTCATAAGAGGTGTGCGGGGTCCTTTCCTAATAGTCCAAGAGCCCAGAGCCGCCAGACACAACTTATTTTCTAAAGGACAGAATATGTGGGATTGTGTAGCACTTATATGTACTATGAACGTATGGATACCCGCTAAGTTGGGTAGACGGCCAATTTACCAACACCAGGTGTGAAAGCTGAGGAAAGCTTTAACTTTTGTTCTAACGCTTGATTTTTATATATGGTATTGGGAAGACCATTTCATAACTACGTGTGCTCAGCCAGACCAATCGCACCGGCCAAACATCCTCCCAGACGCAAAATAATTTTTCCGGGAGTGCGAGCGCGAGGGTACTATGCATGCGTTTGAGAGTGAGCGAGATATCAATGTCAACTGATTTCCCCCTCTTGAACTCACAGTCTACTCCAGGCTAGAGTAGAAATGGGATTCGGTTTTTCCCATAATAGGAAAAACCATTATTCACAAATAACAGTCAATTGGCCATCTACCCAACTTAGCGAATATGCATACGTTCATAGTACCTATAAGTGCTACTCAATCCCACATATTCTGTCCTTTAGAAAATATGTTGTGTCTGGCGGCTCTGGGCTCTTGGACTATAAATAAATATTTAATACAATTATATTTACCTGTTTGTGGCAGGCACCAAAGGCGGAGGTTCAGTAATAACTACTGATTTTTGTTGGGATTTTGTTGTTTTTTGCCCATGAGACTCGGGATTTATGAGTTTACTAGATGATTTTTGAAGAGTTTCTTCTTCAATAGCTTCCCTATACAAACCTTTAATTTTTAACGTTTCACCAGCAGCTAGTACTGTGTTCAATATTTCTTTTGGTACTGTTGCCTCACCGCTATACATATATTTCACTAGGACCTTTAGGGCTTTGTAAGTTATTTCTGAAATAAAGTTTATAAATACCTTATAAATACTAATGAAATTTGGTGATTTAAATTTACCTCCTGGAAGTACAATCATAATTGGTAGAGCTGTAGTGACTTTATTTTGAAACTTCAACGCCTTGTTCAAATACAGGCTAGAGAACGACAATACGAATCTATGGGCCATGATTTTGTGACCGTCCATAGTGACCAGGGCTACATCCTGGAATGAATCGTCTGATAGTAATGAAGAGGCTATACATGAATGTATGTAGGTCGTGTAGGAGCTCCATTTGAGTTGGTAGTTTTCGCAAATTTCCGTTTGTTTCTCCATTTTGGTGCTGAGAAAAGGAAGAACAAAATTAGACCCATATAATGGATAGGAAGATGTTTATTTTGCCACTGTAGAATTTACTATACTGCTACTGAATACCTAAAAGAATTTATCTCTATCAGTAAAGCAAAAGTGACGAGGATTTACAAGTTCTACTGCAAAATATTTATGTTGGAAGAGAAAAAAAAACTAAAACATCTCCAAAAATAAGGGCATATAGAAGGAATACCATAGAGAATTGACCAACAAATTTGAAAAGCCATAACTATACAGGGTGTACCATTAAAAAAATCAATCATATCAACGTTCCATTATGGACCATCCTTTAAATGCAAAAATTTTGCTCTTTTCGTTTTTTGTCGATAACTTTTATTTCAAAATTTCAATTCGTACTAATAGATACGGTAGGTATACTGTGCCATAATATATTAACTTTTAAAGGGGCCCTTCCAAAGGGTTGAGTCCGTGATGAGGGACTCAACCCTTGGCTGTACCTACTCGATTTGTTTCCCCTCTATTTATGCTCTCTGTAACTTTGTTTTTATGCAAATACCAAAAATGGGTGCTTTAATTGTGTATTAGTACATAGGTATTCTATAACTTTTCGCAATGTGTCCAACTGAATCCTGAATCATAGTGGAACTATGGGACACTCTGTATACTTTTAACCAAATTATGAAATCTTCTCTGCACCAGTTTTTAAATAGGTAATAATAATAATCAAGTAATTCCATCGAATAAAAGTAGGTACATTTTTCATCGAGTCTGAATGCAATGATAAAACTCCCTCATATATAAATCAAACTGAATTTTTGAAATTCAATTTGACACTGAAACTCAACGGAAGCGCTTAACTTTTGACTTGGACCTCGAATTTATAAGTCTATATATATAGCTACCGAGTTGGAATACAAAAACTATTTCCAAATTATCCAGTACAAAATAAGTAGGTACCGAATATAATATAGGTAGTACCTGATTAAAGGAATAATAATATTACAGTAGGTACCTATACTAGTAAATTCTCATTTTTCATTATACTTACCTATCTAAACAAGCTAAGTAGGGCTTACTCTTTTACCAAATAAACTATACAATATATACAAAAATATACACAAAAACATTAGGCACAAAAAAACTTACTTTCAACTTAAACTGGCACGTGTTTGGCTACAAACAAACCCAAGCTGCAGACTTGCAAACTAAAGAATAGACTGAATAGAAGGGACACAGGGTCACAGCAGTCCCAGACAAAAAGAACCCGAAGGGTCGATAATATCGGATACCCAGCCCATTGATTTTAACGGACCAATCGTAGCTGCGTTTATACTATGGATCGGGCATGCAACTACGTGTTGGCGCGCACTGGATCGATACATCGATAGGAAGGGCTTGCCTTTGCAGCTTGCAATCTTTTACTCACAGAAAATAAAGGGAAAATCTACACTATTGGAATGTTCAATATTTTATGTTTCTGTTTATTTATTTTATACAATTTAATTTTAATAAATTTCCTATCTGCTCTGGAAATTTAACTCTAATTTTTTTAAGCATATATAGGTAGGTACTAGGTAGGTAGGTATATGAAGCCACGACACTCTGAAAACGTAAAATGTGGACCATTTGCGACTCAAAATACACATTTAGATCTAAAATAATTTTTTGAACTGAAAAACAAACTTTTAAATACATATACTCACCTAAATCAATATATCAATTTTGAATGGCTCCTGGAAACCGATCATCAGAGACATTCGAGTTGTGGCGTTTTTGCATTTTTTTCTAAAAGATGTGGTTTAAATCGATTATCTAATAATTGTCTGCATACAATATTATTACTGAAAAATGTAGTGAAATAAACTAAAGGCCTTTTGGCAAAAATGGTACCTACCTTCCTTTCTGAATTAGGGCTCGGAATCGAATTCCTTTATCCTCAAATCTGGAAAAGTGGAGACTCAAGATTTCCTAGAATCTGAAACTCTCAATAAGTAATGTGTCTCAAAAGCTTTAGTTTCAAGCCCCACCAAATGCGGTTTTAGAAACTTTCGGATTCTCTCTTTATTTGAATTCTCAGTTCAATCTTTTAAGTTTTATTTAATCAGCAGACTTATATAAGTCTTCATTCTAGAATCTTTAATAAATATAGTTCCCAGGGACCCAAAAATCCCTCGTCTTTATTGTTGCGTCTTTAGTGTCTAGTTTTACTGCATGATTCTTGAGACAGTCTGAAATCTTAAAATATTTCAAGATTAAATATACAGGGTGTTTCACGGACGTGGTCTGTTAACAGAGAGGCGCGTTTTGGGGTAGGTATTTTGAGGTCGATTTAAAAAAAAAAAAACGCTCGGACACCTGAATTTTGTATTTAGGGGGAAACCTTTTGACCCCATCGGTCATGAACACCTGGGTGGGGTAATTTTCACCCCTCTTTTTTGGATAGGAAAGATGGGTCGAGTGGTACCTTGTTTTAAAGGTATTTTGATTCTCGTCGCAAGTGCCTATTTTTTTTTTTCGAAAATCAAATTAGTTCTCAAAGATATTCACTGTCAAAGTTGCCATGGCCTAAATTAGAGTCCGAGAGGAATATGTTAATTTGAGAAAATTGTTTCTTATTGTTTAGCCCATGGTAACTTTGACAGTGAATATCTTGAAAACTAATCATGGGGTGAAAGTCAACCCACCCAGAAGATGCACCCTAGAGAATAACCGATGGGATCAAAAAGTTTTGCCCTTGAATAAAAATTTGACGTGTTCGAGCGTTTTTTTTTTTTTTTAATCGACTTTAAAAAACCCTAAAACGCCCCTGTTTTGATGTTCGTGAAACACCCTGTACAGAGTATGTACGTAAAAGGTCCCAACAATCTCTCGGGTTAAAAATAAAGGTGTTTTAAAAAGTGAAAAGTTTTGACCTCACCATTTCCAGTTGTAATTTGGATAATAGAGAGTTGATTTTGAATTGTGTAATAGAATATTGTGTATTTAGGTGGAAAAGTGACACATTCTCGGCCGATGGTGTAAGTTGACGGACGAGGCGTAGCCGAGGCCGGCAAACACCGAAGGCCGAGAATGTGCTTTTCCACCGTCAAAAATGCTGACATTTCTTGTCAATCGCAGAAAAATAAATTTTTGAATTGTAAGTTTAATTTTGGAAGATGTAAATTGAAATTTGCAATAGTTATTTTAATTTTGGAAAACAAAAAATTAAATTTTGGAATGGTAATTGTAATTTTAGAAAATAAAACTTGTAAATGGCAAGAGTGAAATATATTTTGGAAATCGGAAAATGTTATTTTAGATAAGGTAAAATGTAATTTGGAAAATAGAAATCGTAGTAGTAGTAGGTCATTATTCCATTTATTCAAATGAAATATATCTTTTCTCAAATTAGTGTAGTTTCTCAAAATACAATTTTTATTTTCCAAAATTAACTTTACGTTTTCTAAAAATCAAATTACCATTCCAAATTTCAAATTTAATTTCCAATTGTTAATTTACAGTTTCCAATAAATTTCAAGTTTCAATTCCAAAATTAAAGTTATACTTTTCCAAAATAAAATAGCTATTCCAAATTACAAATTAATATTTAAATTTTGAATTACAAGTGGAAATGGCGTAGTTCCTATAGGTGGGTATAGGTACTATTGTTTAAAATAAAAAGTTAATTTCCGAATAATGTCGAAGATTAGATTAAATTAAGCTTGTTAAGCCTCGTGGTGAAGAAGAAGAAACAGTACAGTCTACCTCCGGCCGAGCAGCAAGAATGCAAGAATGGAGACAGACTGGTCATTATGCTTCATATGTCGCATACCACGCGAGTCTGCAGATCAGAGCCGCCAGTCGGGCTATCTGCCTCATCGCACTACTCCCACTCTTCCTCGACAGTGCCCGTACCGTCACTATGATCAAGCATTCCATGGATTGTTAGAAAGTTTTTTTCAGGTAATGACCAACGTGAATTCAGGGACACAACGGTCCCCGTTTGGGAATCGACCCACTGAGCAGTGGACTCAGGCTTCCCGTGCCAATCCTTGACGCGTTTCGTCCTTGTTAGGACTCATCAGAAGGACATAGGCTGAAGCTTCTTGTCCAAGCAAAATTGAACTTGAGCGAATCAGTGTAGTTCAATGCCGGTAGGGGTATTTGCCCTCGTAGTAGTTGTTTCTGACTGGTCAACGAAGTTCAATTCCATGGATGTCGTCAGAAACTCAGTGGAACATCTTAACCCTGGCCAAATTCCAATAGTCATATTCGACCAGCCGCTTTTTGCACCAGCAAAGCAAATCCAGTGGAAGTGGCTACAGGGGTACGGTGAAAAGAAGTTCGTCATCCTATTCGGAGGACTTCATATCGAGATGGCAGCGCTGAAGACCATCGGTGACTTGTAGCAAGGGAGCGGACGGGTGCAAGCACTGGCCAAGGCCGAGATCACCAGTGTCGGGACTGCGGATTCTTTCCTGCGGGCATCAAATTTCACTCGAACCAGAAGAGCTCATAAAGTGACAGCAGCAGCCCTCTTCACCCTGCAACAGGACGCCTACAAACAGCAGCTGGTTTGCTGATTGGTGCCAGCAAAGGGCGGAGACTTGCGCCCAGTTTTACTACTGGGTACTGGAATTGAAGCTGACGATCTTGGTGTGCATGCGCTCTACGCCAAGCGTCGTTTGCGATGTACATCGATGCCCTCAAAGAACTAGCAGTGTGGTTCCATGCCCTGGATCACACCAACTACGCGCGTTGGATTCCTGTGCATCTGCGAGACATGGAACTGCCAAAGACACACCGTCCAGAAAACGACTAGGCCGTTCTCTGCCATCGCCGTCGATCAGGCCCACGAGCAGAACAATGCAGCCATAAAAGGAGACGGAGGTGCAGTAGGTCTGACTGGCAATCCCAGCGCACTGCTACGGTAGATGGTGGCAGGATCAGAGGTTGCCAGGCTCATCGAAGAGTTCCAGGATTCTAGCGTAGACCGGTCACAAGACACTAAATAAGCATCATGACCAGTCATCGAGCATGCAGATTGCTTTCCAAAAACACGTACAGTCAATGATCAAAGTGATGGAAGTCGTTGGGAATCCATTTGAAGAGGATAGTCAAGATCTGTTGGTAGTCGACACAAAGGAGATCGCGCCATCTCTAGCTGTAGAAGACCTCCGTCGTGCATATAAACTGGGAAAGGCGTAGTTTGAGAACTTCGTCAGAGAACGCCTGGTGTAGAGAACAAAACCCATACAACATCCCATCAAAAGAAACAAGATCAAAATATTCGGTCAGCCTACCACAAAGCCTCCATGCAAAGGGCAAGCAGCAAATGAAATCCCTCAAGGACGACGTGAACCTTTTCTCTCGTCTGTATATCGGATGCCAAAATCGAGATGGGAATCTAGACTAATTCGCAAACATGAAAACCAAGGTTTCCCTCCAGCACTATCGCAAAATTTCGGAAAGCCGCGCGAGTGGACCTGGTGTGAGACCGCTACATTACTAACTCGTTAAAAAGTACAGCAAGCGCGAAGCGGGGAAAATGGGTAAGAAGACGAGTTGTGGGTGAATCTAATATACCCGGGAACTGGACCAGCTTCCTCAGAGTCGACGAGAACAAGACAGAGCTGTTCATCTTCCGCTCTGATTGCCTCTACGACTCATTCCAGCTTGCAGACGAGGAGCTGCTCATTACTAAAGGAGACGATGTCTTGAGAAAGCCACCGCTTCTGGATACTTCAGCAATGGTTCCTTGCAACCACGAGGAGGCCGACACCCGCTATATGTTGCATGCCGCCCACGCTGCTCACAATGGCGACAAGAAGATCCGCATCTGCACAGTTGACCCTGATGTTATTGTCCTGAATGAGGAAACTGAAATCTGGGTGGCTTTCGGCTCGGGGAAGACGTTCCGCTTCTTGGCAGCCCATGAGATGGCTTGGGCTTTGGGTCCTGAAAAAGCTCAGGCACTACTGATGTTTCATGCTGACGGGCTGCGACACGGTCTCCTGCTTCGCCGGACGTGGAAAGAGGATAGCATGGCCAGTGTGGACAGTGCTACTTGAACTAAACCAGACACCTACTATTCTCTCCACTTCACCAGATCGTATTATTGAAGACGCCATGCGCATCATTGAAAGGTTCATCATACTGCTTTATGACAGAACGAGCACAGACACCGATATCGACAAGGCGCTTCGCAAACTGTTTTCAACTAAAAGCAACGTCCAGCTGATCCCACCGACAAGGGCAGCCCTGGAACAGCACGTTCGAAAAGCAGTATACCAAGGCGGACATGTCTAGGGTAAGTCCCTGGTTCCTGGACCAACACTGCCATGCCATCACCAACCGACTGGGGTTGGATCAAGACCAGCGACGTCATACACGTCGCCAACCTCTCGGGACAACTCTTTCCGAAGCATCCCAAGATCTGCAGTAGCTCATCTCTTGCAAATGCAAAAACTGTACGAAAAAGTGCAAGTGCAACAAAGCCGGTCTGGAATGCACACCTCTGTGTGCAGTGTGCTTGTGACGGGGAGTGTTCTGAGAACTGAAGTCGCATTCTTGAAACAAATGGAAAGTTCCTGCCAGTATACTGGGACTGGCAGTAAAAGCGATTTCTGATTTTTTGTTTTTCAATTTTTTAATGCAATATTGAAAATGCACAAAGAGTTTATTGGGAATATGAAATAAGTATAAAACTATTAAATAAATATATAAGGGTGGGCACGAAAAACTCACCTAAGTTTTAGGTAGGTACCTAATCAATCAAAAATTGCTCGACCATTTTATTGGTATTTTCACCCCTTACCTGTCAACCACTAAACTGGGGTGGCAGGGACCCCCAAAATTTCGAATAGAAAGGAAGGTCGACAGTGGCGGATACAGTGGGGGGACAGAGGGGTGTTCTAATAAATAAATATTCACACAAAATCAATAAGATCATGTAGGCACAGGGTGTTTTTTTATATATTGACATCCCACCTACAACCTAAAGGTGTAAGTACAAAAGTTCTACAGTATTGGCTAAATTTTTAAAATCTATTGTCAAAAACAAAAATTGAATGTCAGAAATGTGAAATATTGCATGCTTTTTTCAAATGGGATGCGCTATATGTATTTGGTTCTATATTCTTGAGAACACAATTTCGCGATTCCAAAACTATATAGTTTGTCTATATTTGGTTGAGCCGTCTCCAACATATTTGGTTCTAAAAATTTTAAAAATACTATCAGATTTTGCCTGCAGCTTTCACCTGTACAGGTAGAATTGGTTCACAAAATCAGTAGTAGGATAGTATTTTTACAATTTTTGGAGCCAAATATATGAGAGGTTGCTCAATCAAATATATATCGGGGCATTGTGCTCTTCAAGAATATAAATAGAATGAAATATAGGGCATCCCATTTGAAAAAAGCTGGAAGCATGCAAAATTTCACTGACCATGGTTTCTGAAAATTCAACCAAAACTGTACAACTTTTGTATTTACACCTTTCTTCTACCTGTGAAAGGCTGTAGGTGGGGTGTCAATATATAAAAAAAGAGTCCCGGAAAAAAGGTCGAAAACATAAGGTCGAAATCCAAAAAGTCGAAAACAAAAGGTCGAAAATACAAATGATCGAATGAGAAAAGGTCGAATAACAAGAGGTCGAAAATACAAAAGGTCGAAATACAAAAGGTCGAAAATAGAAAAGATCGAATGAGAAAATTTCGAATAACAAAAGGGCGATTAACAACAAAAGGTCGAATAATAAAAGGTCGAATGTAACAAAAAGTCGAATAACAAAAAGTCGAATAACAAAAGGTTGAACAACAAAACGTCGAAAATACAAAAGGTCGGAAATACAAAAGGTCGAAAATACAAAAGATCGAAAATACAAAATGTCGAAAATACAAAATGTCGAAAATACAAAATGTCGAAAATACAAAATGTCGAAAATACAAAAAGTCGAAATCCCGATCCCGTAAATTTATATAGTTGAAACGTCAGGGAGGACACTTTCAAAAATTAACATATTTTCGATTGAAATTAGTTGATATATAGTTTATAAAAATGTTTTTTTGTTTCAATTTAGATGCGGATATTGACGGTTTTTTTGCCTTACCTACTAAAAAAAAAAATAGACACTCCGACCTTCAAAATTCGAAGGAGAAAATTACGGGTCCGAGCGAGATAAATTGGAATTTGGATATACAAGACTAGTAAAATGAGAAGGGCTCCTAAATAAAGTGAACTAACACAAACTAACCCAAACTAACCTATAAACTTTCCTCCCCAATGCTATAATGCGCAAATTGAACTAACGCAAACTAACCCAAACTAACCTATTAACTTACCTCCCCCAACGCAATATTTTGTATTTTTGACTTTTTGTTATTCGACCTTTTCTCATTCGATCTTTTATATTTTCGATCTTTTGTATTTTCGACCTTTTGTATTTTCGACATTTTGTTTTTCCGAGCTTTCGTATTTGCGAATTATTGATTTCCGACCTTTTGTATTTTTGACTATTTGCTATTCGACCTTTTTTATTTTCGACCTTTTTTTATTCGACCCTATATATTTTCGACCTTTATTTATTCGACATTCTGTATTTTCAACCTTTTGCATTTTCGACATTTTGCTATTCGATCTTTTGTGACAATTCGACATTTTGTAATTCGACCTTTTTTCCGTACCCCATAAAAAAACACCCGGTACAAATAAGTGGATTATTGCGGAACTTATGGGTGGACCCTCTGTTGGACGCGCGCAGCGAGTTCCGCAGCCATCTACTCACCAATATACTGTTGAACTATTCTCACCTGAAACTTGTAGTTTTTGAACTAATGAGAATAACTGGACATTTGAGTGAGTCAGGTTAGTATCGTATTTGAACAACGTATTAATGAATAGATGACTGCGCAGAGCCGTATCTAGGGGGAGGTTTTGGGGGTTCAAACCCCCCCAAAAAATAATAAAATTCAAAAAATTTAACTTAAAAACAAACCACACTTATTAAATACTTATTTATTTTTTTAAATTTTTATTACTAGTGTAACAATTTTTTTTGCCACTTTGTCTAACCCCCCCAAAATTTTGGTCTAGATACGGCCCTGTGACTGCGGAACTCGCTGCGCTCGTCCCGCAGAGGTCCATTCATAAATTCCGCAACAATTCACTCGTGTGTACTTGAATAACTTGTCACATTATGTTACTAGTTTAGTAAAGTAACATTACTGATTCCTGTTGAAAGGCAAATTAACAAAAAGTGGATAATCTTACAAATTCGGATTTTATATGATAAGTTATTGTTCAAGTACAGGGTGTTTTTTCATATATTGACATCCCACCTACAGCCTTCACCTTTACAAATAGAAGAAAGGTGTAAATACAAAAGTTGTACAGTATTGGCTAACTTTTTAGATTCCATGGTCAGAAACAAAAATTGAATGTCAGAAATGTGAAATGTTGCATGCTTTCAGCTTTTTTCAAATGGATGCCCTATATTTGGTTCTATATTCTTGAAGAGCACAATTTCCCGATTCCAAAACTATATAGTTTATCTATATTTGGTTGAGCCGTCTCCAACATATTTGGTTCTAAAAATTTCAAAAATACTATCGGAGAAACCAAGTACATACCAGTGTACATACCTTAAATTTTACCTGCAGCTTCCACTTGTATAGGTAAAATACTTCACAAAATCATTAGTAGGATAGTATTTTTACAATTTTTGGAGCCGAATATATGAGAGACTGTTCAATCAAATATAGACAAATTATATATTTTTGTAATCGGGGCATTGTGCTCTTCAAGAATATAGAATGAAATATAGGGCATCCCATTTGAAAAAAGCTGGAAGCATGGAAAATTCCACATTTCTAACATTCAAATTTTGTTTTTGACCTTGGTTTCTAAAAATTCAGACAAAACTGTACAACTTTTGTATTTATCACCTTTTTCTTACCTGTAAAGGTAACGGGCGCGGATCCAGACCCAAATTGAGGGGGGGGGGCTATACAAAATATTGGAAGGTACAGGGTGTCTGGTTATAATTTGACAGCCCACCTTTATAGGTAGATGATAGGTGTAAACACAAAAGTGGAGCAGTTTTAGCTAAATTATTGTCAGAAATTTGAAATTTTGCGTACTTTCAACTTTTTTCAAATAAAATGCCTTATATTTAATTCTATATTCTTGAAGAGCACAATTTTCCGATTCCAAAAATATATAGTTTCTCTATATTTAGTTGAGTCGTCTCACCATATTTGACTTCAAAAATTTCAAAAATACTATCAGAGAAACCAAGTGCCTCAAACTTTACCTGAAGCTTTCATCAGAATGGTTCACAAAATCGTCAGTAGGATAGTATTTTTCCAATTTTTAGAGCCAAATATGTTGAAGGCGGCTTAAATAAATATAGACAAACTATATATTAGAAGCAAATATTGTAGATTGTAGTGTAGATTGCGGGGGAGTCGTTTCGGCTTTTTCAGCCGCTCAGCACTGCTACCTTTGCAGATATTTTGTACATGACTCTACCTACATCTCAAATTGTCTCCAGGAAGCGTAGACTTCTGCCGAAGGAAGGTATTTTCCTGGGTGTTAGTTGGCCCACTTCTTCTGGTGACAGTGTTGCTCCCTCGAGGAATTTGAGCCTCTTGCAGAATTGGGCTGGACATTCGCAGAGCAGAAGCAAATATAGGGCATTTCATTTAAAAAAGTGGAAAGTACGCAAAATTTTAAATTTCTTAGAATAAAATTTGGTTTTTGACGATGGATTCTGAAAGTTTAGTTGAAACTGCAAAACTTTCGTGTTCACACCTACATCATCTACCTGTTAAGGTAAAGGCTGCAGGTGGGGTGTCAAATTATAACCAGACACCCTGTACAGGGTGTCTGGTTATATTTTGACCCCTACCTACAGCTTTAGCTATACGAGGTGGAAAAGAACTTTGAATATGGAAGTTGTAGGGTTTTACGTCTATTATCTTTTGCGAATTTCAAATCTGGAAAATGACAGGTGCAACTGTCGCAATGATAAACACTTGCATTTTTCAAATGGAACACCCTGTATATTTTTAGCTAGAATGATAGCTTTTTTTCTTCTGATTCCAAATATACCATATATGTTGATATTTAGTTCAGTTGTTTTTGCGCTATTTATTTTTGAAATTGCATTGAGCAAGCCTTATTGATTTAAAAAACCAGGACAGATTAAATTAAGGGTAATGCGAATGCATTTTTAAACTTGAAAAGCGTAAAAACAGCTGAACCAAATATCAAGATATATGGTATATTTGAAATCAGAAGAAAAAAATCTATCATTCTAGCCAAAAATATACAGGGTTTTCCATTTGAAAAATGCAAGTGTAGACATAAAACCCTACAACTTTCATATTTAAAGTTTTTTTCCACCTCGTATAGCTAAAGCTGTAGGTAGGGGTCAAAATGTACAGGGTATTTGATTATATTTGGCACCATACCTACAGCCTTTACTATTTAAGATAGAAAAAAAATTTAAATACAAAACTTGACAGTTTTTTTCTGTATTTTCTGATAACGTTATCAGAAAAAACAAAATCGCATCGGAAAATGGAGAAACGTAAGCAACTTTGATTTTTTTAATGGACCACCCTGTATATTATGCGATAAAATGAAAGATCTATTCTTTCTGATTCCAAATATATATATATTGATAACATTTGGTTGAGCAATTTTTGACATATCTCAGATTAAATTATAAAGAATTTGCAGAAAAGTTCCATAAGGATTTCTATCTTTATAAAATTTCTTTGCAATTTAGTTATAATTTAAGCTGAGATATGTCAAAAATGGCTCATGCAAATGTGATCAACATATATATATTTGTAATCAGGAAGAAAAGGTCTTTCATTTTATCGCAAAATATACAGGGTGTTCCATTTAAAAAAGTCGAAGTTGTCTACGTTTCTCCATTTTTCGATGCGATTTTTTTTTTCTGATAACGTTAAAAGAAAATATAGAAAAAAACTGTCAAGTTTTGTATTTACAATTTTTTTCTATCTTAAATAGTAAAGGCTGTAGGTATGGTGCCAAATATAATCAAATACCCTGTACAAACATATAGAATAAGCTAAAGGTCCGTGATAAAATGATGCCATGAAATAAAATTCTGTTATATACGGGCCCTGGTAAACCCGGAAAGATTGGTCGATTTAATGTTGATTTTTAATTTTTTTTTTCTTATCTATTGGTGTCAATATATAAAAAAACACCCTGTACCTACCTATTTAAAATCACCTTATTCTCCTAAATAGTTCCCCCATTCCCATATTTTTATGGGCCATTCCTTCGAAAAACCGTATCTTGCACAATGCGCTGCCAAAACTAACCCAATCTACTATAGTACCCAATCTGGCTTACTTCAACTTAAACTGACCCCTCCTTTCAAAAGGCCTGTATCCGCCCTTGAAGGTCGAGTGATACGTCATTTGATAGCATTTTCTTTTAAGATTATACCTTGAAACCTTGAAATTTTTGGTTGTTGTTGGTGAATAGCGGCTTGTTAGAGTTAGTAAATAAATAGTATACATTGTATCACTCGAAACCCCTCTTTAATTGAAATTTTGCGGGTACCTGTCACTCTCGCTTAGCAGTTGACAAGTAGGGGATGAAAATACCACTAAAATGTGTCCTCAAAAAAACAAAGATTCCCGTGTCCAAGCGATTTTTGATTTATCACCCAACAGCTGAGAAAACCTAAATGGGAAGTTTTCTATGCCCCACCCTGTATAATTTACAACCTATCTGGCATGTTTTCATTCAAAACAATAAATTAACATTCACTAAAACCTTCACCATAAACTTTATCGAACTTCTGTTGTCTTTTGGGGTGTCCACTGACGGCCATTTTAGAAAATTGCCGCCAGGGGGCAGTTGGCCGATGGCTCCACATCCAAATTTGTTCTATATAAGGTCTGTTTCTGCAGAAATCACAAACCAGTCAGAGCGAATTTCATTGGTTGAAAGCAGTCAGAAAACTAGTTTCAACCAATGAACTTCACTCTGACTGGTTTGTGATTTCTGCAGAAACAGACCTATTATTACATTGGTCTACCTCTGTACCTACCAAATTTGGTGCCTTAATCAAAAAGTGCAAAATATGTTGAAATATATATAGCTAAGCTGCCGCACTAAATGATCACTTATCAGTTATGTGTTTTATAGAACCTTTAGAGCTATTTAAGTCTTGAGTCACAGGAATTAAGAACCTTTAAGGTCCTTAGTCTTCAAAGGCATCAAATTAATAGACTGACGGTCTTGATAAATATTTCAGTAATATCTAAAAATCTTCAGAGTATCTCTAGACACATTAACGTTTTCAAATTTGAAAGTTTAGAGCTTTTGAATTATTTAGTTTCAGGCCAGGAGCCTTTTAAATCCCAAAAAGCCTTTATTCAAGGAGCTTTTTCCCTCTTGCATCTAAGGCGCTGAAAAACATTTAAGTCAAAAATACATTTTATTTTATTGGTTCAAAATTACTTAAGCGAAACAAATACTTCAGTGAATAAATCTTTGGCATTACAAGTCAAATTTCCAAAATGAAAAAATCTAATTTTAACTGAAAAATAAAACACGGAGATCCTTAATGAAAAAACTCTCTATTTGGGTCCTCATTTTTATAACATTCAACGTTTATCTTTAAACTTTACACACATCTCAGTAGGTATATACCTAATCTAAAAAAAATCACTAAAGCCTAAAGCTTTCAATTTTTAAGAAGATTTTTTTTAAAGCTAAGCTTGAGGAAAAAATTAGATTGCACAAGATAAAACATTATTTTTACATTATTATACAAGAGTGCCTTTTGTGATCAATAAATTGTGTAGAACAAATCAAATAAAATTAGTGTAAAAGTAACAATAAGGTAGGTAAAATTGAAAAATTGCGAGCAAAATATGTATAACAGTGTTTTTACTAGATTTATTAAGGACCTAGTTTTTTTTATCAATGAATTTGAGATTTTATTCTAAATAAAAATTCTCCAAACATGAGTAATTGAGAAAGATTGTTGCTCAATCATCAAGAAGTAAATTTACTTAAACCATTGATGAAGGAAACCAGACCTAAAGAAAAGTACCCTACACAATTGAGGATTTATTTCTCTGCAGGCTTAAATGTAGATCAATAGGGAAATTTATTTCGCTTGCAGTACAATAAATCATTAAATGGGTAGAAAGAATTGTTATAAATATAAAAAAGTAACAAATAAAAAATAAAATCACAATAATAGGTAAATGCAGTATAGAGAGAAAAATGGGTAAAGTGACATATTTTTGTTTATCTATTCAATTATGGAATATGGTTTCATGCTTAAAATTGTCAGTCAAATAATTACCCATACATTTTCCAAAATATCTTACTTTAAAATGTAAACTGTAGTTACGCCGTCAAAAATAAAAATAACAAATAAGTAAAATATTTAACAATTGAACAGATGAGCTAAACAAATAATCTCATTTCACCTGCCGTTTTACTGGCACCCATTGAACCAGTTATAAACAATTTATGCCAAAGAAAAAAATAAATAACAAACCTAATATAGAGCCCAGTTCCATAAGAAAACAAGCCAAATAAAAATCGTTTACCGGCATGCTTTCTTACAACCCTATTTGAAAATTATTAACTGATATGCATCACAGATTCTAAAATACTTATTTACACAAATAGATGTGTTCTTGCAAAAAAATCAAGATACTTGAGGCATGATTTGCTTGCAAGGACAAAACTTTCACTTCCCGATTTACAATTTTGTATGTTTTACAGTGTCTGTCCAGTAGTTTTGAATAGTCATGGCCTCAAGACTGTTGAGAAACGAATCATTGTCCAGGCTATACATTTCTTCAGAGTTGTCCTAGAACAGTTAGAAATTTTTATTTATTAAAGATTCAGTCCTGCATAATCACACTTAAAAATTTATCCACTTACTAAACACTTGACATTTTGTTTTTGAATGTAATAAAAAAAATTCAAAAACGAGTTCAACTGAATACATATAAAAACACATGCAGCGACAGACAAAAAATGCTCCAATAGTTAATAACTTTACATTGAAACTGTTCACTATGGACCCACTTTTACGTCTATCTTCCCAAAAATATCTTTAGGGGTTTAATTATTCATCAAAAGTGCAGTGATTCAAATTCTTGAAACATTTTTGAGTGCAGCTATTGTGTGCTTCAAATCTAAAACAATAGGACAGAAGTGTAACTGACACTGACGCTTCTGTGTGCAAAAATATAAACCCGATAAAAATAAACTTAGGAGTTTAAGACACTTTCTTAAATCCATCAAATCGATAGGCCACATTTAAGAAAGCGCCTTTTCGATACGATCGCTTACTCTTACTGAAGCATCGTCGATATATCCGCTGGAATCCGGATTGCTGCATCTGTCATTAAGTACTTGAGGCCTGTTGAAACCTTGATTGTGGTACACAAAGAAGCTGACTCCGCATATGACACCGACCACCACTATACAACCCAGTGTTATGCCAGTTATACCAGCTGCTGAGAAATTGCCTGCAGAGTCTTCAATATCTAGGTCTTCTTCTTCAATACCTAGGTTTGATTTAAGAAAAAATACAAATGAACCTTTGTTGTTATATTATTATGAAGAATCTTGAATGGCAGATTATAGCACTGATAACTGCAAGAAGCTTTTTGGAAGATTTGTTCTAATTAGGTTTTTCAATGTAGTAAGATTCTCTCAATCACTTAATATGGTTACTCACCTATTCTCTCTGACTGAACAAAACTGTGATTATAGCTCAACTCTTCACCAAGATAAGATATATTCTCACTGTGATTACTTCCTCCAACAGTGCCAAAATTCCTATTCTCTAAAAACCCAGTCGAATTTCCACTTGAATCACTAACATTTTGACTTATCACAGTTAAATTAGCGCCGCTGTTATCCAACTCGCTTAAATTGTTATTTCTCGAAGGAACTTCTAAAGGGAGAACATTCAATTTCCTCGACATTGATACGTTTCTTGCATATTGGGTAATATTTCTTAAAACTACAGGGCTTTTATTGATGGGTGGAATTTTGGGTATCCCTTCTATACTAATGTTGCTTATTTCCGAGAGGTTTTGGATTGTGGGCACCGCTGTGGTTGGTGGGTTGGAATGTAAATTTGTCAGTATGGTGTGCCCAAATACAACTGAAACAAACAAAAAATTGTGAAAACTAATTTAATAAATGTAAAAATATTCCACAGAATAATATGGCGCCAACCATGAAGAATCGCGGCCAAGTCCGCAATAAAAAATCTTATCGCAAAAGCAACCAACTGACACATAAAACAAATATACATACAGACAATCCGTATTAAAATCATTTTCACTTTCACAACAGAGCGCTTGTTCACCCACACAACAATTGCAATTTCTACAATAAATTGTTAATGAATTCGTTAGAGAATCATCGAATTACATTTTTTTTTGTTATGGAAAAAAAATATCAATAAACATTATAAAACCAAAACAAATACAGATAAGGAAATCCTCCACACTTACTGGTGTGCATATTTAGAGGTGCAATTTCCTTATTTTATATTGATTTTCCTTGGGTTAATGTACGATTTTTCAAAATCATGACAATATAAATGTCTAAAAAAAAACACATCATCAGTTAATTTGGTTGAGATGAAAATGCTGGTAGACAATGGTACGCCTTTTAATTATTTACATAACTTTAATTATCTGGGCAATAATTATGGGAACTTTTCATATAAGAGGAAAATATTTAAATGTAACTTTCCTTTCTTGAGCAGTTTTTGGACAGTTTGGATGTGCTCCAAATTGTTATATTTGAATAGAATTTGGAGGAAATATGTGAAAATTAACTACTATACATATGTATTTACATTTTTCATCAGGTTCAAAAATAATAATAATTTCTCTCCTAGCACTTGCCAAAACAGAATTAAATTCACTTTCAACTTACATCATACAATAGTATGATTCAGCTTTCATTTTTTTAATTCTTACATGATTCTAGATAATAAATAATATTATACTGTTACAAAGTGGTCAGGTTGTTCTGTTTCCTTGAAAGGCAATACGCTGGCTGCATTAGTCAACAAAATAATAAGGTTGGCAAACGAGTTTGTCTTTTTGCTACCACAAAAACAATGTAAATAGATTTAATTATGTTTTTTTTTTTTTAATTAAGTTCTGGCATGTTGCAGGTTAATTGATATTGCTGACGATACATTGAATTATAGATTTTATAGCGGCATTGTAACTTAATGAAATGCAAAAAAACTATGTAATCGTCAGGTACAAGGATTTTTATATTGGAATATTTTTTCATCAAATTCGCTTGAAACGATAGGGTAGAGAGTTCATAACTAATTATTGTGCAATTAAAATAAATTGACCACACTACCGACTGATAATAAACAACTAAGCTTATTAGTCCAGAGCAACCTTATAAAGCAATTGCTAATTTTAAAATAATGTAGGAGTGATGACATAGAAAAGAGTTCAAGTTGGGTCTAAAACTTAATGATATTCTTCCATAATGACTGTTGCGAATAAATTTTATTAAACAAATATGTATATACCTAGGCCCTAACTCTTCTGAATTTCAACAAAATTAAGGTTGTAGTGCGAGAAAAAAGTCAAGATTATCTTTCAGGTGATACCTACACAAAAATGGAAATAGCCCTAGTTTAGTGCAACGAATGAATAGGATGCTAGTAATTTTCCAGCGTCTTCTAGGAAAACATATTATCAATTTTCAGCTTCAGCTCAACTTCATCACTAAATAATACACTGTTTGAGCTTTATTCCATTTTTATTACAGCATGAACAAGTTGCAACCACCCTTGTTGGTGTTCCTGTGGTAATCGGATAATCAATTATATCTTCAAAAATATCGTCCAAAGAATCAGACTGTTCAAGTGTACTTTCCCATGATTCATGCCGAGATTTAAATATTGAATGTATGATTTCTGAATCCTGTTGGTTAAGTTTTGGCATAACTAAAGATTAATTATTAAACTTAGGGTGCAAGGGATGAAGGCAAAAGGATAAGACCAGTCCAAATGTCAACCTCACCTGCACAAGTGGTGGTTCGTACGCAACTATCCGGTGCAACCTGCTAAATAACAGTCTAGGCTCTGGCGACCGAATATCGGCGGGATAACCGTACCAACATGAAATTAAGGAAATTAAATTCTCAGTATATCCCCTATCAACCCGCACCGGTCAGCGTGATAAGAAAGGCTAAAACCATCAAACCTAAACCAAAATGGAAAGTAGAAATCACAAATGGCCCTCAGTCCCCGGCAGATCGCAAGTCTCCGACCAAGGAAGCGGTTGGAAAAGGCAGCGATTGAAGGGTGCTAAGAATCCCCAGGTAAGATTAGGCTACCAAGGAAGACTGAAACTGCATATTGCGACATATAATAAGAGAACCCTTTCATCTAACGAGAAAGTGTTGGGACTACAAAAAAAAAAACTTCAACAAATACACTGGGATGAAATCGGAATAAGCGAAATCCAGAAAAGAGGAGAAAAACAAATCCTACTGAAATCAGGAAATATGTACAGGGTATTTGATTATATTTGGACCCATACCTACAGCACAGCCTTTACTATTTGAGATAGAAAAAAAATTTAAATACAAAACTTGACAGGAAAATGGAGAAATGTAGACAACCTTCCTGATTCCAAATATATAAATATTTGTCGCATTTTAGTGAGCCGTTTTTGACATATTTTAGCTTAAATTTTAAATAATTTGCAAAGAAATTTCATAAGGATGTCAAGACATTAAAATCTTTATACAATTTCTTTGGATTTTATTCATACTTTAAGCTAAGGTATACATGGGCGTCGTTACGAGGTTTCTCAGGGGGGGGGCAGTATTATAATAAGACCATTTCCATTAGCGCCGCAGGCAACCGCCGTAGGCTAATTTTTTTTAGTGCCACGCCCCTTTTTGAGCATTTTAAGATACTTAGTTGATATCGAATTTAGTTAAAAATGATGGTATTTTTTTCCGCAACAAATTCACTGTCTGCATCATTAGTTCAGTGGCGACGCCAGGGGAGGGCCAGAGGAGGCCGGGGCCGCCAATGATATTTAGCCGGCCCCCCTGGTAACTTGCTCTCATGTCGGCAACAATGCAATGTAACATCAGCAGCCTCTGTCGGTTAATTCGGTATTCGGTGAGCACAGGCCAAGAATCGTAAACTAACAGGAATTCTCATTCTCATAAGGCGTACGTTCGTCAACTCTCGAGTCGACAGGGCCTGCGAGTGACGTCACTACTAATTAGCAGCATAACAGCTTATAATGATGACGTTACCCGCAGGCCTCGATGGGATGCTTGCGATTCAGGTTGTGCTTGTGTTTTCGTCAATTTTAAATGTAGAAAAGGTGATATTAACAAGATTGTAACGATTACTGTGACCTGTGACTGTTTTAAACTCGGCTAATGTATTTTACGCCAAGTGTTGAGATGTTCGGCTAAGATGGCAGACATTTTCAGCTCAAGAAGTAGTCCTATTAGGTTGAGTGTTCTTGGGCACAGGCAACTACGATGCTGCTTTCGGTTTCCTGGGATTACCTCAAACATAATGTCGACAGGTACTTCCCATTTTTTATTCCAAAGAAGAAAAGCAGTAAAATAAAAACAAATGCCCCCCCTACATTTTTCTGGCCCAGTCTGCCCCCCCCCCCCCTAACATAGAACCCTGGCGTCACCACTGCATTTGTTTAGGTAATTTTCTAATGGCCGGTATTATAAAACACTGAATCGATGATTGAGTTTCAACCTTGGATTGATTCCATGGAAATTAATAGGATTCAACCGAAGGTTGGAACTCTACCATCGGTTCAGTGTTTTATAAAGGGTTTTTCAATTGGAACGGGTCGAAGTTGGCAGCCTGTGGCGGCCATGTTGTTTCCAAAGCATTTGTTTTACCTGTTGTTTATTATTCAGTCACTAATGCCAAATTACCATGACAACTTACACGAATGAACAGCACGTCCAAATGATAAAACTTTATTATCTAAATGATTGTTCGTTGGTCCTAACGTTGCGCGCGTTGCGTCCATTTTACGGCCGACGCGGTGGCCCTTCAAAGTCGACTCTCCAACGTTTGGTGGCCAAATTCGAGACGACCGGCTCGGTAAACAATCAGCCAACACCCGTACGTCAAAGAAACGCCAGATCGGCCGAGAATATCGCCGCTGTCCGGGAAAGTGTGCAGGAGAACCCAAGGCAGTCAATTCCTCGCCGTGCACAAGAACTCGGCCTTTCAGAAAATTCAACATGGCGAATTTTGCATCGGGACTTGGGCCTGCACCCGTACAAGATCCAATTGACCCAGGAGCTCAAAGTTAATGACCATAGACAACGTCGTTTGTTTGCTGACTGGGCATCGGAGCGTTTGGAAGAGAGCCCTAATTTTGGCAGAAAAATCATCTTTAGCGACGAGGCGCATTTTTGGATGAATGGCTTTGTAAACAAACAAAACTGCCGTATATGGAATAATGCCAACCCACAAAAGGTTCATCAGGTGGCAATGCATCCACAAAAAGTTACCGTCTGGTGCGGATTTTGGGCTGGAGGCGTGATTGGTCCGTACTTTTTTGAAAACGAAATTGGTGAAGCAATCACCGTCAACGGCGACCGCTACAGAACCATGATTACCGATTTCTTTTGGCCCAGAATAAACAATATCGACGTGAACGACATGTGGTTCCAGCAGGACGGTGCTACTTGCCACACAGCGGACGCCACGATGAATATTCTGCATGAACGATTTGAGGGTACGGTTATCTCTCGCAGAGGTGACGTAAATTGGCCGCCAAGGTCGTGCGATTTGACCCCTCTGGACTACTTCTTGTGGGGTTTTCTGAAGTCTCAGGTCTATGCCAATAAGCCGCAATCGACCGATGCCCTTAAAGTGAACATAACCCAGGCGATCGCTCAAATTCAGCCGGATCTATGCGGCAGAGTAATTGAAAATTGGACCAATCAGATCCTTGCCACCGTGAGAAGCCGCGGCGGACATTTGAATGATGTGATATTCCATAAATAATGGCATACAAAGACCCTTAAATTAAAAATAAAATTTTATTAATACTTTACACACAGCTTGTTTTATTGCATTTTAATATCGACCCGTCCTTATTGAAAAACCCTTTAGTACCGGCCCTAAGTCAAGTGAAATTCAATTCCGTTGAATGTAATGAAAATGTCAGCCAATTTTTCAAAGTACCTAACAAATTTTGAAAAAATGGAAAAAAGCAATACGAATACCAACTCTCTTTTACTGCTTTCTTGTTCAAAAGACTATTTCTGCCCCCACCCCCCCAATCGACGCCCATGAAGGTATATCAAAAACGGCTCACCCAAATGAGATCAACATATATATATTTGGAATCAGGAAGAAAAGATCTTTCATTTTATCGTATAATATACAGGGTGTTCAATTAAAAAATTTCGAAGTTGCCTACGTTTCTCCATTTTCCCATGCGATTTTGTTTTTTCTGATACCTTTAAAAGAAAATATAGAAAAAAATTGTCAAGTTTTGTATTTAAATTTTTTTTTCTATCTCAAATAGTAAAGGCCCCCAAGGTCCAAATATAATCAAATACCCTGTACTACCACAAGTGTGAATCTCTGTAGGAGGAGTCGGACTTCTGATAAAAAGGTGACATGTACACAATATACTTGAGATCACCAGCGTAAGCCCCAGAGTTTGCTTTGTAATATTGAAATTAAATGAACAATGAACCATACAATGTCAAGATCATCCAAGCCTATGCACCTACATCCCAAAGTCCGGACAAAGATATTGAAGACTTCTACGAGGACCTTACTCAAGGAATCTCAAGTCCTCCAGCGTACTTCACCATGTTAGTCGGAGACTTCAATGCCAAACTTGGAAAGAAACAAAATGAAGCGGAAACACCACTGGGATGCCATGGAATTGAAGAAAGGAACGAATGAGGAAATATCCTGCTACAGTTTCTGTTCCACCATTGACTGTCATGAACACATTCTTTAAAAAGGCGGACAATCGAAAGTGGACATGGACCAGTCCGGATGGTATACGAAAAACGAGATTGATTTTATTATTACAGACAAAAAACGCATAGTCACAGATGTAACGGTACTAAATAGCGTGTCAGTGGGGAGCGACCACATAATGGTGAGAGCAATGGTGTCATTAAACTTAAGAGCCTTATAAATAAAAATAACAACAGGAAATGGACCAATATAGATGACGCTGAGGGATATCGAAATACAATAGATAAAAATCTGGAAGACCCTGATTCAATGAACATCGAAGATCTAAATCGAAATATTGTGGAGTCAATCAGCATAGCCCAAAGTAAACACTGCTCGAAGCCTTCAGAAAAAGAAGAAAAACTGAATTTAAATACCAAACAGTTAATGAAACCGAGGAGAAAATTACTGAGGAAATACCCACAAAACAAGGACGAGCTAAAACAACTAAATAAGGATATAACAAAAGCTGCGAGGGCTAACATTATAAAATTTAATAATAAATGGATCACTAAGGTCATAGAAGAAAATAAAAGCATGAGGGTACTACGAAATAAACTAAGCACAGGAAAGACCGAAATAATCAAATTAGGAAATGAAAGAGGTCACAAACAAAAGAAACTAAAGAAAGGAAATATTAAAGATTGTTGAAGACTTCTATACAAATCTCTATAGTAACGAACGCCAGAGAGAAAAACCGGAAAATATACCCCATATATTAAATCAGGGATTAGAAGAAATGCCACCGATAAGCGAAGAAGAGGTCTCAAGGTCACTCTCAGAAATGAAAAACAACAAAGCACCTTGCGAGGATGGTGTTGTCGCAGAGGCTGTGAAACTAGGAGGAAAAAAGTTACTCAAAATGATAACTAAACTCTTTAATAAATGTCTTGACGAAGCAACAACCGCAGAGATGTGGAACAATGTCACCATCATTATTATATTATGCATAAGAGAGGCAGCATCACAGACTTGCAAACTATAGACATAGACTCACACATCTATATAAACTATTTACCAAAATCATTACTTCGCGTCTTTCTAATAAATTAGAATCATATCAGCCAAGAGAACAAGCGGCGAGACAAGCGGGTTTTCGGGCTGGGTACGGAACAAACGATCACCTTCAAGTTATATTCATTAATAGAAAAAAGTGTAGAATATAAGAAACCCTATTCAAATATCAGACATCCCAGTGTGCCTCAAGCGTTAAGTTTTTGACGAGTGCATCCTCCCAGTCCTGATATAAGGCTCACAAACATTAACATTGATACAAAAAACGATCAACAAAAAAAGAGTTACCCAACGAGCCATGAAAAGAGCTATGTTGGAGGTGACGTTGCGAGACCAAATCCACAACGAAGAATTACGTAGAAGAACTAAAGTTGCAAATTGTGTTGAGAGAATAACACACCTAAAGTGGAACTGGGCAGGCCACGTCGCAAGAATGACAGATGATAGGTGGACGAAGAAGATATTGGAGTGGCGAACTAGAAATGCTGCACACAGAAGCCGGGGTAGACCGCCGACTCGATGGACAGATGATATCAAGAGGATATCTACAAATTCGATTCAAGATGCCCAAGACCGAGCAAGATGGATTATGTTGAGAGAGTCTATGTCCAGCAGTAGACGAGACAAGGGGTAAACCGCCAATGTATTCCAGTGTACAAGCCTAATGTAATCCCATGTAATCTCATGTATTCTTATTTTCTTGTGTAATCCAATGTATTATCATGTATGCCCTATGTATTCATATTTATTCCTTTGTATTCCCATTCCCATGTACTTGCCCATGTATTCTTATGTATTCTCTAGTGTATTCCTTCAAAATTCCAGTGTTTACGTGCGTCCTCACTACTATTTTAAGTTGTGATTATCTCCGCAACTCAAACGAACATCCAGTGTAGCCAACATATCCCTTTTGGGTCCATTTAGAGCCTGTTCAATCTAAATTATGCCCCAAAAATTTACCTCCTCTCCCTTTCCTTGACCTTTTTAAAAAAAATAATAATAATACGATATAACTTCCGGTATGACAAAAAAAATCACTGAAAGAATGTTTTGGAGTGATTTTATGTTATGTAGTGAAACTTATGACAGACCTGAAACAAGTTAATATTGTTAGCGCTCCTGAACAGTCACCTGCATATGGCCAAACATAGGCAGTGAGCTTTCTGAAAAATTCTTCAGAATGGCCAATCTGCTATTGTAACCTCAGAAGAAATTATGTCCATAATCGTAGAATCATGTGTAAGTGCAGCTCTAAATGACGTTCTCAATGACACTATCATATTAGGAATTATCGAGGAATTACTGCTGATAAAAATGACTGCATTAATTTAGATTTGCCACTAATCATAGATCAAGACATAAAAAATACATCATATGCTCGATCCGGGGCTCGATCATATGTCTATTTTAACAAAATTGAAATAGGCGAACTTGAAAACCAACCAAAGTCGATATGACAGAAAAATCTCACCGCCCTAAATCCACTCCAGCTAGCCGCACCAAAGACTTACAAGAAATCCTAAAAAAGGAATTAAAGAGATAAAAAAAAACAAAATTGAAGATTTTGTAGGGACTGAATTCACAATGAGCTCTACATCCGAGCATGAAAAAAAAATAATAATTTACTTGACGATTCTTCAGATGGCGAAATGCCTTTAGAAACCTCAAGTAAAGAAGATACTTGAAATGAAATAATCTCAGAAATCATAATGAAGACATATTACGCTGTCGCCTATGAACATCAATGGTACATTGGTGGGATCAGAATAGAGGACAACAAATGCCGACTCAAATTTTCAAAATCTGAACTAGATATTTTCAATTGGCCTAAGGAAGACAAACGACATTGCTGAAGTAGATGAAGCATACCTACATATTTCATTAATTATAATACCTTCATATTTGAGTTTGTCTTATTCGATGTCCAATAAAACTTACCAAACGATTGAACTCTTTCATTTGCTATACTTAATGGCCAATATTTTTATCATAGCTATTAAATTATCTATTATGTTTACCTCAACGTTTACTGTGTTCTTTTAAAGACAGCATATTTTCTGTCAGAAGTTAAGAATACATGCAAACGCATGTATTCTTAAGGATTCCTCCTCGGATTCCTCTGTATTCTTACTTATATGTTCCTGTATACCCCATGTATTCAATGTTAGTTTACCCCTCGTCCTTTAATCGGTTCAACAATTTCTCCTAATGATTGAAGCAGTACCTCTGAATGTACAAAGCCTTCAATTTCTCCTTGGATTTGTATGTAACATCTTATATTTATTTATTTATTTATTTATTTATTTACAAAAAACTGCCCTACAGGTAAAACCCAATTACAAGACAGTATAGCAGAAATTATCTTACATAAATGTGTAAATATCTACAGCAGGTAATAACATAAATCATAAAAACATACAAATCTATGCAAGTTAAACAAATTAGATAAATTAGACAAGCAAAAAAAAAAACCAAAAAAAAAAAAGTAAACTACAATTTTTTTTAAAGCATTTCAAACTATCATGGAAAAGGTCAAGCTCAGTTGAATTATTGTATTTGTCACACATTGCATGTAAAGGCGAGAATTTGAGAACGTTTGTACGAGGAGTCTCCAAGTAAAAGGTGCCCCCTACACGAGAGTTCAAACGGGGTATTTTAAAATTAAGTTTCTGAAGTAAAGAAGGACAATCTATGTTACCATTGACCAGCTTATATCAAAATAACAGCTGAAAATGATCCCGTCTCTTTTCTAATTCTGTGAAATGAAATTGATTTAAAAGCTCATTATGTGCACACCCTTGAAGAGGGTAAAACCCATTTTGTTTAAAACTTATATATTTTAAAAATTTCCTTTGAACACCTTCTATATCAGAAATATGTAAGGCATAACCAGGTGACCAAACAACGGCTGCGTACTCTAGCTTAGAACGAACAAAACTGTAGTATAGCATTTTCGCAGCTTCGATCTGGCTAAACTCTTTGGTAGAGCGCATTATAAATCCAAGCATTCTGGACGATTCCGTTACTATAAAGTTGTAATGTGCCGTAAACGACAATTTGTTATCAAATATAACTCCCAGATCCTTAAAAGTGTCGGACCGTATAATATACTCGCTGTTTAGATTATAGTTAAAGTAAATTGGCTGTGTTTTTTTAGTGTAGGACACGATATTGCACTTTTTAATATTAATTTGAAGATTATTATTTTTGCACCAAAGATTAATCCGCTCTAAATTTGATTGCATATTTAAACAATCTTCTATGGACCTAACACTTGCAAACAATTTTACATCATCTGCATACAATAAATAGTTGATGCTAAGAAATTCGCCTAAGTATATCATTTATGAAAATATTAAAGAGGAGGGGACCTAGGACTGAGCCCTGTGGTACCCCTGAAGTAGCTGCATATTCTGCTGACTGAAAGCCGTTAATTGCTACATATTGACTACGATTAGAGAGATAACATTTAAAAAAGTTTACAAGTGAATCAGAAAAACCCATTTTATATAGTTTAGCTAACAAAACCGTGTGGTCCAATCTATCAAAAGCCTTGGAAAAATCCAAGTATATGACGTCAGTTTGACAACCTTCGTCCATTGATTCAGCTATGTATTGAGTTGTTATTACAAGGTTTGATGTTGTAGATCGGTCCCTGAAAAATCCGTGTTGCTGTGACACGATTTTATTTTTAACTCTGGGAAAAACTATATCATGCAAAATAAACTCAAAAATCTTTAAAAAATTACATATTATGGAAACTGGTCTGTAATTCTGGATATCCGATTTGTCACCCTTTATAAAAATTGGACACACTTTAGACTTTTTCCATAGACTGGGTAAAGTTTGTTGCTTAACGCACTTGTTAAATAAAACTTGAAGAGGTTTTGTTAATACAAATCGACAATCATGTATCAAAAATGCCGGTATCAGGTCTGGACCAGTGGTGGGCTTGGATTTGAGTTGATATGTTTAACTTTAAGCGAGTCTTTAAGTATTATTGGAAAAAATAAATAAACGATTATCTATCCATCTATCTATGATTATAAACTTCAATTTAGGTTGTTTTCTTGATGCTTATTTAAGGACTATTTTAAATAGATTTTGATTGAGAAGAAATGATCATCAAGGGGATAATGCAAAAAATGTCTAGAAAATGCACTTTAAGTCATCTATTTTTGATTTGATTTGATCTGACAGAAAGCCAGAAGAGAGCACTTTCAAGACAAATTTGGACCATTCTGTGGTTTTTAATAGCCGGAAATTTCTTCCCGCAAGAGTTAGGAACTATATTTTTTCTACGAGCATACTTAAGCTGATGTTACGAGAAGTTTAATTTAAATAAAATGTGCAGAAGGTAGAATTAAAAATGTATTGAAAGGTATTTATAAAAAAAAGGTAAAGGTATTAAAGGTAAAGGTATAGGTGTATCAACAATACAAACAATTCCATGTCACAATGATTATTTCAAACTCTTCCTGCACTGGTGCGGGAAGAAAGTCTTCCCGCATAGCAAATCGTGCAGGAACAGCCATTTCCCGCTCGCTCGTAGAAAAAGCAATTTTGACACGCACATACGCCTACTAGTTTCAATTCGATGGATTTTAATGCAGATTTTAATAAAAAATACGCCTATGAAAGGTTTTGTTAAAAGCCTCAATTTAGGATGTTTTTTTTAAACGCACATTTTAAGTATATACTTTGGATAGATATTAATTGCGAAGAAGTGAAATAATGCAGAAAATGCCTAGAAAATGCACTTTAACACCTATTTTTGACATTTTTTTTTTCGATACACATTTCGAGGCAAAAATGATTTTCCTCGTGATTTTCTAAGCATTTTCTGCATCATTTCACTTATATTTTTGAGAATTATTCTCATATTTCAAGACAAAAAGCCAGAAAAGAGCAATTTTGGGACAAATGTGGATCATTAGGTATGTGGTTTTTGAAGCAATTTTGAGTCAAAAATACGCCTAGGAATGGATTTTTATGACTACTAGCTTCAATTGGATGGATTTTAATGCAATTTTGAACAAAAAACATACCTAGGAAATGTTTTGTGTGATTCAATTTAGGTTGTTCTCTTATTGAACGCGCATTTTAAGCCTGCTTTGGATAGATTTTGATTGAGAAGAAGCGGAATAATGCAGCAGGAAAATTTCTAGAAAAAAACATTGGGAAAACATCTGTAGTTCTGATTCTGGAACATTCTGGATTAGGTATAGAGCTCGGTACAGAGGTGAATTTTAGTTGTTGTTTGACTTTACTATTAAGCTTTCTAAAAGGGTAAATACCTTTATACAAAAGTGATTCTTCCGAGGGATCTTCATCATAACCATACTCACATTCCATTTATTTTCATTGAAAATATTGAAAATAGGTATTATGGAATTAATTTTTTTCAATGAGATTTTTTTACAGGGTGGGGCACGAAAAACTTCCCACCCAAAGTTTCTCAGGTGTTAGGTATTTAATCAAAGATCGCTCAGACACATCAATTTTTGTTTGTTGGGCGGCACATTTTATTGGTATTTTCACCCCCTACCTGTCAACCCCTAAGTGGGGGTGACAGGTACCCCCAAAATTTCAAATGAAAAGAGGGGTCGAGTGATATGTCATTTGGTAGCTATTTTCATTAAGATTATATCCCCGAAGTTTTAAGTTGCTACTATTTACCCCGAGATTTACCCTGCCGAATTTGCGTCATGTCAAAGTTAGGATAAATGTTTTTTTTCGATAATCTAAACTGTTTAGTTTTTATCTGTCATACCTTTGCGTACGTAACAGGTAGAACCACACAGCAGTTTTCCATTGATTTCTCCTAACTTTGACAAGCCGCCATTTCGATGGGGTGAATAGTAGCAGCTTAAAACTTCGAGGATATAATCTTAATGATAATAGCTATCAGATGACGTATCACTCGACCCCCCTTTTCATTTGAAATTTTGGGGTTACCTGTCACCCCCACTTAGGGGTTGACAGGTAGGGGGTGAAAATACCAATACAATGTGTCCCCCAAAAAACAAAAATTGACGTGTTCGAGCGATTTTTGATTAATCACCTAACACCTGAGAAAACCTGGGTCGGAAGTTTTTCGTGCCTGTATATAATATCACAAGCGAGATCACAAGAGAAAAAAATTTGTCGGCAAAATTTTCGAAAGGTATGAAAGTTTGTTGCTTGGCAATTTCGCCAATGACATTTTTGACAAAATCACGAGCCGTCAGGCGAGTGATTTTATCAAAAATGTCATGAGGGAAATTGCCGAAAAGCAACAAACTTGAATAAAACCTTAAGAACAAGATCCAATGTTGTACCTGCAGGAGGTTTCTGTACCGAACAGTTTTTATTTGATACATACTGATATTGATGAAATATGTGGTATTCTTGGAGAGATAAAAAGTAAAAATTCCTCTGGCATAGATGACCTTACACTCAGAGTGTTTGCGGCTTTGCCCAGACAGGCTTTGGAGATTATGGTAATGTTAATAAATCAATCTTTTGACGATGGTTGTTTTCCTTCTAGTCTCAAGACCGCTGTTGTTGTTCCGCTGTTTAAGGGTGGTGATCCGAAAAACCCTGCTGATTTTCGTCCAATCTCAATGTTACCTACGCTTTCAAAAATCATTGAAAAGCTTGTAAAGAAAAGAATGGTAGCCTTCATGTCTAGTCACAATATCCTGACTAGTTGTCAGTTTGGATTTCAAGCCTCTAAGGGTACTAGCGATGCGGTGTTCAGGCTTCTGGAGAGTGTGTACGTCGGTCTGAATGGAGGAAGTATGGCTGCAGCGGTTTTCTGTGATCTTTCGAAAGCATTTGATTGCGTAAATCACAGAATACTGCTGGAGAAAATGCATCAGTATGGTTTCAGGGGAGTGGCGTATGACTGGTTTTCGTCTTATTTGTCAGGTAGGAAACAGGTGGTTTGTTCTGAGGATGGTGGCTCAGATGAACTGTCAATGAGACACGGTGTTCCCCAGGGTTCGGTTCTTGGCCCAGTTCTTTTTCTATTGTACTTGAATGACTTGGCTAGACTAGATATTCGAGGCCGTTTTACCATTTTTGCAGATGATACGACCATCTTGTGGCTTGATGAAGATGCTAGTTTATTGAAAGATATCATAATTGAAGACCTACGACGTGTGAAGGAGTGGTGCGACGCAAATTTACTTTGTTTCAATTTAAATAAAACTAGTGCTATTTCTTTTAGCTTTGTGTTGGATGATCTGAATGTGGACAATTATTTCGTGGCAAATAAGGCTAGCTGCAGGTTTCTGGGCTTGCACATAGACTCGGATTTAAAATTTAAAGAGCATATATTGTGTCTGAACAAGAAATTGGCATCTGGATGCTTTGCTGTTCGTATTGTCACGGGGCGGCTGGGGTCACTCATGGCTAAGTCGGTATATTATTCACTTGTCGAGTCTCATTTGAGATATGGGATTGCATTTTGGGGTTTTTGTAACAAACAACTTTTTAATTCTGTGTTTGTCCTACAGAAGAGGGTGCTTAGGTATTTATGCAAATTGAAGGCTAGGGACCATTGTAGGCCATTGTTTGTTCAGGAAGAAATCCTTACATTGCCATGTATTTTTATTTTGGAGACTGTCTCCTTGGTGCACAAAAAGTATAGAAATTTTATAAATCCCAACATTCACAACACACGTTATGGACATAATATACCATTACCGATACCCAGGAGTGGTTTTACCAAAAACTCTTTAATGTATGAAAGTTTAAAGATATACAATCATTTGCTGGATGAGTGGAAGGGTCTCCATGATCTTAAGAGTTTTGTAAAATGTGTAAAGTCCGTTCTAAAATTGAAGGCATACTATAGTTTAGAAGAGTTCTATAAGGATGTTTTTTAGTCGTTTAATCTTATATTAATTTTTACTTTGATTGTTTTGTTTAAACTATTATATCGAGATGTTAAAAAAGTATTCCTGTTTTTGTGTAAATTTTGTATTTTAACTTAATTTTATCTAATCGGAATAGTATTTGTAGTATATTTGAACAATTGACTAGCCCTAAGTTATGTGTCTATAATTTATTTTGTATTGAGTATTGCTAAGATTTAGAATTTATGGTTAAATTTATATTTTTTAGGCTTTGTCAATGAGTTTATTCTATAGACAATAAAGCGTTATTTGATTTGATTTTTGATTCAATTTTGCCTATACATTTTTTTCTCGAGTAGTATTTGTCATGACCATGACTATTTTGAAAATAAATAGAATGCAAATATATGAATAAAAACTTCAAATTAAAAATATCAGTTTGACAATGTCAAAAAATGGTAGCTGAAATACCATGTTATGGTATTGTCCAGGTAGCAATATTGTCAGCTGAATACCAAATTTATTACCGGTGTAATACACTCTAGTGAAATAGTCAAGGAGATTTTAAACCAAACTGACTTCAAAGTGTTTTTGTGAACCGACATTGTTTTGTTTTCCTCATAAGAGGTGGAAAATATTCAGCTAGTAGTCTTTGAAAAGACAGTTTTATACAATTTTGATGTTGCTCTACCACCTTTATTTACCACATCATACCATACCATTATTAGTTGATACCAACCTATATTTTTTGAGAAAAGTAAAGTCAAGACATTCCCTGGACTAAGTAAGTAGTTAAGATAGAACAAGGGAATTTTAACTTTACTTAAATTTGTGGTTTAATGAAGAATATATTTTGTGCTGCTTTAATGGATAATAATTTTTTTCTTTTCATCTGATTTGAGGATTGGGAAAGGTGACTTTCCTTTCTTCTACACACCAAAGAAGGAGTTTGTCTGTGATCCTCCAGGTAAATTAGAACCATTTTTTTGGTGTAAATCGAGGTGTAAATATTTTCACAACAGGAAGTCATTATTCCAGTATTTTCAAAGTTGCTAAGGAATCTTTGTTTTTGTTGTAAAGTAATCTCGAAAGTAACAATAAAATGAACTTACCGAAAACCTGTAAGTTGTAGAAAGTTGTTATCCAAAACCAGTGCATCCACCAGTAATGTGTCATGATTTACCAACCATCGAGATCTGAGGAAAAAAATAAAACTGCAAATTACTCCGCCTACTATTGTTCAAAAAAATTAAATACAACAAAAGTTCAATAGGAAATTGCTAGTTTGCCATGGATTCATGGGCAACGAGATGGGAAATTTTGTTAATTGCCCTTTCAATTAATTAATTTACCTTATTTCTAGGATAATCCGTGTTTTTTTTTTTAAATAAATGGAGTTTTTGGGATTCAATGGAACCTATTTATAAACATTTTATGGGCTGTAGCAAAATATTTTAGCTATTCAATCACATTCGCCCGACTTTGTTTTGACGTTTGTGGCCTGGCCTGTGTTGTGTTTTGTGTTTATCCCATGATTGATTTTTATTTTTATTCTAGGCAAGCCGCGCAAGCGCAAATCGATTATCGACATCGGAGTAATCCGGAGTAGTTGTATTCCTTTCAAGAGTTAGAACACTAGAGCTACTCGCTCCGGTGTAGGTCGACCCCGATTTGAAAGGAACAGATCACTGGAACAGAGGCGCTGGCTACCGTGCATTTAAATGGTTTAGTTCGGGCTTGAGCACCTCAGGTGCAACAAACCAAACACTTTTCGAAAGGAATAAGCGCGTACCGCCCTGGAGCTTCTTCTAGGTGTGAAAGGAATACAACTAGTACTACACTGCAGTTGTGTTCTGGGTTCGCGTGCACGGAGCAGAAAATTTACTGTTGTATAAACTACCGTCGAACATCGATAAATATCGTCCAGCACTAGGTACTTACCTCAGTCACTGTCAGTTTTGTTGTCAATGTGTTGTCAGTGTCAAAAAGTTTCTTTTATTATTTTTTTAAATAAATTTATAAACTATTAATTTTTTATTATTTTATTTTATTGTTGTGTTAAACAAAACGTGTTTTGTATTAAGTTTCATGTAAAATATGTCCAAAACGAATTCTTTAACGTTAAAACATAGTTATTGCTTCCTGTGTTTCGTCGTATTTTTTGTCAGATTGTCCTAGAAAACTATTTTTTAATAGGTAAGATGGATGGATATTTAAAACTTAAATGAAAAATACAAAAATACTGCACCCTGTCGCTACTGCCCAAAGAGACTTAGCGTTTTTCTCAATGTTAATGAAACTTATGAGTGCCTAGAAATTCAAAATTAACAACCTTATCAGCATCACTCCCCCCATCATAACTAATGTCTCAGAAAAGCTTCAGTATGAACAATTTTCATTTCTGAGGCACAATTAATTCAACCCAAAGGAACGCCAAGAAAGCTGTACGACACTACAGAAATAAACGCTGCAATATGTTCATCATGTACTGACAAAATGTAGTACAATACTTAAGTATATTTAGTATATTTGATGTACCATCGGCTCGACCATAGGAATCAAGTACTGACTAGTACCTCGGGCTTTATCATGACAAACGATTAAGTATTAGTACTACCAGTAGTAGGTACCTCGGTAGGTACTATGTTAAAGTCTTGGTTGGATACAAGTATTTCACCAAGTAAGTATGTACCATCGTTACCAAAAGTCGAGCCAAAAGTATCTGGGACACAAATAATGTATGATAATCTCCTGGACTAATTCTAGTGTCATTCATTTCAATGCATTTACATAATCAATGAAACTGTAATTCATAGTTTGACAAATATTTGACTTTTTTTTATCTCGGTTTTTATCCATCTGCTACATACATATAGGTACAAAAAAACAAACTTCAGTTTTAGATAATAGTCAGTAACAGTCACAAAAATAGATACAGAAACCTAAGGGTTTTCTCTTGGTTTTTCTTGAGATCTTTTAATTAGAATTAATTTGAAACTATTGAGTATGTGCATCGGTATGTACTACTTTAATTTTTAATTGGCATATTGAAAGTAGGAGTTTTTGGAATATATATTTTTTAAATTTGTTATTGAGTTCTCCTAGATCGAGGGGTTAGTCACAACATATTTACCTAAGTGTACAAGAGGTATCTTCAGGCAAAAGATACCTATTCACAGATTTCTTTTACATATCCCAAATTACCGCATGGGTAACCCAAGGGGTAATCACTCTTTCAAAAAATTTACACATATTGCGACAATCCTATGATTTCCTGGCGGTCGCTGCGATTTTTGAGACTGTGTGATGATTTAAGGTGACGGTAGATTTCCTGTTGATTGTGGGTTGTGGGTCTGCTAAAATGATTGTGAGACTGTCAAAAGGATTTTTTGAGGGATTTCTAGAAAATGTGATAGATCAATAATGTAGTAGAATTTTCAAATACTTAATTAAATCATATGGTTCAAAAGTCAGGTTTCTGAATATCACTTTTTATATTTTCGTGGACATTGTAAAGTTTTTGTCAACCTTTTTAAAAAGAAAACACAAAATCTTCAAAAAATACTTTTAATTTTTAACTCATTTTAGTGTTCTATGTTCTCCCTCAATACTAACTTGTCACATTGTTTCAAATAAAATACTCCCTCGAATACTCCACTTCAATTTGAGTATTATCTTCTCTAATTTTTCCAAAACTCTTATTCCAATATATCGGGTCTTCAAAAAAAACAATCAAATATTGCTTTGATCACGAAAACGTACGTCCTATTCGAGGTCCTATTATTGAATCTTTATTAGTCAGGTTTTTGTGAAATGACATTTTGACATTAAAGCTCATTGATAAAATTGAACAAAAATTATGCTAAGACGTTTAAAAAACCATAGCGATCTTTGATTGTTTTTTTTTTTTTGAAGACCCGATACCATGTTCCATAATACACTGCATAATATCGGGTCTTCAAAAAAACAACCAATCAAAGATTGCTATGGTTTTTTAAACATATGTCTTAGTAATATTTTTTTCTAATTTTGTCAATGAACTTATATGCCAAAATGTCATGTCAAAAATCCTAACCAATAAAGAAACAATAATGCGAGGTACGTTTTCATAACCAAAGCAATCTTTGATAGCTTTTTTTTTGAAGACCCGATATTTCTCTTAATAGATGTCTTTTGCGTCTTTTGGTTTGTACATTTTGAAATCATCAGGAACTACAGCCTCTGAAATTGACACATTTAATATTTCAGTAACTCTGCCAATTAAAATATTTCCCCCCTTTTTGAGAATTTCTAGATCGATGCCATCAGTAGAAGACTGTTTCTTAATTCTCTTCATAAAATTCTGCATGATCACTCCAGTATTTGAAATGATAATATTTTCAATACTGTCGATGAAGTAATTGTTGAATGTCGCTGCCATGTCCCTTATTGAAATAGTCTTTCTATTGTTATGTACGACATAATTACTTTCGTTGTTAGTTCTTTTATTGGCTATTAACGAGGCTATTCATTCCTTTATATTTCTCCACATTGCCTTGCCATCATTTCTGTTCTTGTGTATTACAAGTTCATAGTGTTCTCTTTTATTTCTTCTAATTAAGTTAGTGACTGTGTTTCGTTGCTGTGATTACAAAGTTGATCCATCTTTGCTATATCTTGCTTGATAATATAGTTTATCTGTCATTTGTAATTGTGTTTTTTCGTCTTCATCAATCTATGGAGTTTTTTGGTACCTGCACTTCTTTTCTTGCACTGGCGCTATTTTATCTAATTTCAATTTCAATTTATTAAATAATCATGTATACAAATTTTAAAATTTTTACATTTGTCATTTATCATACTAATTTATCAATTAAACAATTAGATAAAACACAGTGTCACAACAGTAGATCAAAGTCAGCAGCAACGTCCCTATCCAGAAATTCCCTATAATGATTAAAAATCTGGCCCAACAAATATTTCTTAACTACAGACCTAAAACGCTGAGCTGCCAATTCTCTTACAGAGACAGACAGCTTATTATAAAAGACAGGAGCAAAATAAAGTGTTGCATTCCTTGATGTTCCTAGTCTGAGAAAATTAATCTTAATACTGTCGCGATGTCTGGTATCATGGTGGTGCGAGTGGTGGTGTGTCACCCAGAGCCGCAAAATTATGCAAATTACGGTGCATGTACAGTAGGCAGTCATAAATGTATTGTGTTGGTACGGTTAAAATCTGAAAATGAGCCAGAACTCTCACTGCCCTCCGCTGCAAACCAAACACTCTCGAGGCATGGGCCGAATGTCCCCAAGCCAACAGAGCATAGCAAATGACGGAATGAACTAGAGCATGGTAGGCCACTAGAGCGACACTCAAATTGGTGGTCCTACACAGATTTCTAAGTACATATATTCCAGATGTAATTTTCTTGGAGATATGGTTTACATGGCACTCGAAAGTAAGTTTGGGGTCAAGCATGACTCCCAGAAATTTTATTTGAGTGGGATTACTAATTTCTTCGTCTCGTCTTAAGGTAAAGGTTATATTCTCGGTTTTGGTTTGATTGAGAGAAAGCCCATTGGCAAGAAACCAGTCACCCACACTCTCGGCACAATCGCTCGCTTCCTCACACAAAGCGTTGAACTCCCCATTAGCCACCAATTATAGGTATATGAGATTCACATTGGTATGCATATTTTTAGTTAATTCATTAACATTTCCTTCTTCCAACCACATCTGATGAAGCATTGTCTGAAAATTGTGGCAGTCAACCTTTGTTTTATTACGGCCTATTTTGGAATAGGTGAGCTTGGTTCCCTGACATTCCTGACATACACCCACAGTTGTGGCAGTAGCTTCATTATTTGTGAATACAACATCAATTATGGTTTTTGTATCTTTTGTAACTCAGGTATATTGAGTCACTTTCTGTTCAAGGCCAAATGCAGCCATTAATTTTACCAACTGCTCTTTTTGTAGAGAGAGAGACGCTTCTGCCATGTCAATGTTCAGGTCACGAGTCACATAAGCCGGTTTTATTCTTAATTGAAATGCCTTCAAGAAATTCATCCATGTGCAAAAAAGTCAGCTGCTTTAGAATTCGGTGATCTATACACTCCCACAGATTTCAATTTTTTTTTCAATTTATTAAACAATCATGTATACAAATTTCTAAATTTTCACATTTGTCATTCATCATACTAATTAATCAAATAAACAATTAAATAAAACCCAGTGTCACAACAATAGATCAAAGTCAGCAGCAACATCCCTATCCAGAAATTCCCTACTTATAATGATAAAAAAATCCGGCCTAACAAATATTTCTTAACTACGGACTTAAATCGCTGAGCTGTCAACTCTCTTACAGGCTGCCTAAGACAGGCAGCTTATTATAAAAGACGGGAGCAAAATAAAGTGTTGCATTCCTTGATGTTCCTTGTCTGGGAAAATTCATCCTAATATTGCCGCGATGTCTGGTATCATGATGGTGTGTTTTAACCAGAGCCGCGAAATTATGCTAATTACGGTGCATGTACTGTAGGCAGTCATAAATGTATCGTGATGGGACGGCTAAAATCTGAAAATCACGATAAAACTGTTTGGGGTCTTCTCGATATCCGACCCTAAAAGAACATAGTAAATAACGGAATGGACTAGAGCATGGTAGGTCATTAGAGCGACACTCAAATTGGTGGTCCTACACAGATTTCTAAGTACATCTAGTCCAGATGTAATTTTCTTGGAGATATGGTTAACATGGCACTCGGAAGTACGTAAGTTTGGGGTCAAGCATGACTCCTAGAAATTTTATCTGAGTAGGATTACTGATTTCTTTATCTCGTCTTAAGGCAGAGGTTATATTCTCGGTTTTGGTTTGATCGAAAGAAAGCCCATTGGCAAGAAACCAGTCACCCATACTTTCGGCACAGTCGCTCGCTTCCTCACAGAAAGCGTTGAAATCCCCATTAGTCACCAAGAAGCTGGTATCATCATCAATCTCAAACCAACAAAGCCACCTAATTCCATCAATGCATAGTATAGAATTTTATTTACGGACATGCCATTTTACAATAAATAAATAAACAATAGTAATATAATAATATATAAGAGTTGCTTAAACCTAAATTCTCACGAAAAAAGTGTAGGTATATTATTATCAAAAGAATTTAACCGCATGTGCAACATGCCAAATAGAATCTAGAGAAAAACAT